TGCAAATGTCCAGTCATTAATAGAGTTAACAATACAAAATACTTAAGGCGTTACATTCGACCAACATATGCGATGAAATAATCATGTATCAGATTCAAATTTAAAATTGCGTAGATTATACGCTTTCCATAATATGGTAAAACAATTTTTAAATCTACACTGGTTAAAAAATACATACTTTGCCTTATCTCAATCGATAATAGAATATGGTATAGTTGGAAGAGCTGCACATAAATATATTTTCGGCATGCAGGTAGCACAGAAAAAATCGTTAAAACTTATACATTGTAAACCTAGGCTTTATCCTAGTAAACAGTTACACTCATAAACGAAAATATTATCCGTAAACAAATTATGTTACAAAAAAACTTTATACTACTTATCACAATATAGTTTACCTCAGACGGTGATTCACAATTGTAACACGAGATCCGAAAACCTGATTTTCTCCAAAATGAACACAGCAAAGTTTTATGATAGCTATTTATTGGTTTGAGAATGTATTGAAAGCTACCTATGGAAATAAAAAATTGTCAATAAACAATTGCAAATTGCGATTTGCAATTTTTAAGTTGTTAGTAAAGATATGGTTGATTAAAGATGAAATAATGTTGTAAAATCATTTCATCAATACTGTACATTTTTATTTATTATTGTCTATACTACAGACTTCGTCGTCAAAAAACAAAGTGAAAAAATCGAAAGGTCTCAGTGAACTCATTGTATCTATAATATCTGTATTTATACCGGTACAATTATCACGTGGATCAAAAGCGATATTTGAATTTATGTTTGGTACGTCAAAATTATCATTCCACTCACTTTCGACGTCGTCGTCGGCGGATTCAACCACATTATTCTCAGCTTCATTATCATCTTCATCACCTTGCCAATCAGGGTCTTCGTCGGTGTCGTCAACATTTGAAAATGAGCTCGACAGAACATCGTCATCGTCAGGTAAATTTTCCATTTTGATGGCGATCCATGCGAGTCGTAATAATATTAAAAATAATATGACATAACACGCTAAACATACACCTTCGCAACTCGTATTCTAATGCCAAAATCACTTGAATAATACACAAAATAAAATCACAATAAACATACACATTCAATATGAAGGTCCGTTGAATACGCGAGCAAAAAGATAAGATAACAATAGTAGGTTCTGTTAATATTTAAAATTCTAAAAATAAACTTTGATAATAACAGATTAAATTCTGCGAATGGTATAGGGAACGACATCTATTATTCCATTGACGAGCTTTGATGAAGACGGTCTGATAGTCCACGTGTACATTATTTTGACACGGTCGAAAAAATGCATTTTTTATATCGGAATGACTTGAAATTACTGTAAAAATTAATACCAAAAACAAATTTTAATATTTGGACATTTTTTTCCTATTCACATTTTGGCAAACATGCAAAAAAATATCTACACATGCATGGCAAGTTTACGGTGTACAAGAAAATGTACACATGGCGGTCAACGTGTTAAGAATGTTTTTAAATGCCGAAGAGCGGAACAAGAACGCTCAGCTGTATTCGATGAAACTGTTATGGTTAACATAATTTTTATTAATTTAATCACTTCTTGTATCAAATCTTGTTTAAAAAAATTAATTGCGTCTGACACTGATGATAATTTAAACTATTTTGCTTTAACAACATCCAACATTATAATGCAGCGATATAATTCTAATTTAGCCCAATCGAAATCGTAACTATCGTATTCAGTTATAATAGACGTATTTATTTTTAGGATCTATTTTAAAGTTTTCTATTTTTGCAAGATTTACTAAAACGTACCTAAGTATAAAACGTTATCGTCCAAATCGTCGTCTATAGATGCCGTCGGCACCATCAAAATAACAAAAACACCCAAAACATATATTAATTAAAAATGATTATTTCTACATGCATAATATTAACGTATTAAATATGTTTATATTTTATTTATTTCATTGGGTGCTCTACACCCAATGAAATGAACCATGGGGTACTTGAGCACCACAGCACCCCAATAGTTGGCGCCCATGGTTTGAGTACGCCTTGGGATGAATGAATGAGTGAAACCACGAAGAAAGTAGTTCAGCAAACGCAAAAGATTTGAGTTTATTAATTAATATAATTTGTGATTTATCCTGTAAAATGTTTTCTATATAATCGTATAAACAACATTAGTTTGCAAATGATTATTAAACGATTTTAGGATTGATTGTTTGAATATGCTTAAGTTTGTTACTGTTGGTCTGTTGTTTTCTAAAATCATGTCGGTTATTACATAATAATGGATTACATAAATTTATAACAATGTTATTTATCATTTTAAAAAATAATTTAGGAATAATTGAGAGTTTTGATACAGGCGATAGTTCTTTATGTATATAATTTATTTATTTATTTATTTATTGTAATTTAAACAGGCCAAGTCCAATACGTGTTGTGAATATAAATGATAAATAGGTGAGATTAATACATAATTATAACAAAAAAAAGAGTAATAAGTAATTCATAAGGAAAACAGTAGAAAAATAATAACAACATAAATATAGTTACTAATTATATCTAATTAAATAATTTCAGAAAGACTGAATAGAGTTGAAATTAAATAAATCAACTTGGGCATCATTAGCTAATCTAGTGGATCTATTTAAAAGACTATTTATGATACAGTTATATCGGTGCAAGTGGTTGTGAAAAGTATAATTAGACCTAGTTAGTCGTTGAGGGACATACAAATTAATAAAACTAACCAATTATGGACAATCTATGAAACCATTTAACAGTCTAAATAGGAATTTCAAATTAAGTATGTTTCTACGGATAAGGCTGCCCATATTTAATGTGTTTAATAACGGCTTATATAGTGAATGTGATTTTCGTGGAATACATTTGTAGGATATAAAACAAAGGAAGCGATTTTGTATTGCTTCGAGACATTATATATGAATATTTTCAGAAGGAGACCAGATAATAGAATTATATTCAAGAGTAGAGCGTACTAAGAAAAATTATATCGTTTACAATATCCGTAACAATAAATTATTTTGTTTAAATTAGATTGATAGGATATTTAAGTCATATTGCAAGAGAACAGAATCAGAGAAAGATTTAACTAATCGAAATAGTTTCATATCATCAGTGAATAGAAGTTTACAAGAATTTAGAAAATTAAAATCATTAATAAACAAAATAAATACAAATTTGTATGTATTACATCTACTTGATACCTTGAAGCAAAAGCGTCCAATATAAATTTCTGAAATATTAATAGATTGATAGTTGTAGATTTACCCCTTAAAAATCCGTGTTGATCATTATCAAGTATTGGGGAAAGTATAGCATAAATTTGTTTATAAACAATTGATTTAAATATCTTAGGTATTATAGAGATCTGGGATATAGGTCGTTAACTCATAATGTCAGATATATTAATCCCTTTTTTGATAGGTGTTACAAAACTGATTTTCCAATCAGAAGGAAAAAAATCTGTAGAAAGGGATAAATGAAACAAATACATTCAAGGAGAAGCTAAATAATATTTGCGTTTAGTGAAGATAAGACTAGATATCATACAGGACCAGAATTAGTTTTATTAGAAATAAAATCAAATTTGTTTAGAACCTCAGTAATACTAAACAGGCATGATTGTAAGTTAACTTAGTTGAATTAGTTGCGGAAGGAAATAGAACAGGATATGATGGAGTTGGCATAATTAAATTTTTATCATAGATACTGAAAAAATAACGAGCAAAACAACCAATATCTTTATCACTAATTATTAGTAATAATAATAAATTAGTAGTAATAATAAAATTTAATTAGCAAAGCTGGGTGATACAGATAATCAATTGGAATCAAAGTTCACATGAAACATCTATATTTGAAAAGTTCGATAAAATTAGATCTAAAATAGAATTTTTTTGATTTTTTTTTTTACATTAAATTGTATGTAATTGAGAAATGAAAAATTTGATAATTTTTCTGATTCAATTTTCCCATATTGAGAAATAATTGGTTCACTATGTAGAGATAAGATTGAACAGTCGATAAATTATAATCATCTAATAGAATAATTTTAGCAGCAGTATATTGACATAATAAACTATTAACTTTATTGATATGATTATTATAAACATTTACAAGTGTATGAGGAGGAATATTTACAACACCAATTAAAAGTATAGTAGACCCAATGATTAATTTCAAAAATAACTGATTGATGTTGTTGTGGATAATAATTTGACTGGAATTAAAACAAATTTTTACTGCTATTAAAACATTTCAATCTCTTATATTACACAAATTAATTATAATATTAAATAAAAGTGACAATATTTATATAACATTTAACGTGTTAACTTGCAGAAATTAAAGCTCAACAATAATAATAACAATAATATAATAATATATATAGTATCTATATATTATATATGCAGCATGGTCTAATATTATAATACCTAACTGTTTTGTCAAAGCCACCTCTTATTAGTCATTACCCTTCTTCCATTAATATTGCCTAACAATATTAAGAAATCACTTCACATCCAAAACAATTATTATTAGTTATTTTTAATATAATAAGTAGATTTAGGGACTTCTAACATTTGTATATTTTTAGTGAATTATGTGAATAGTAGAGAGCCAAATAGAAATCTTGTTTATGTTATATAGAATCTAAATTTAAAATTTTAGTGTGCAAATATTTGCATATTATAGTAGTTTTTCTCATTAGAGTGTATATCGGCAGATTGCCGCTTTTTGAGTGCTGTAACAGGCCATTTATTACATTTTTAAAGCATATTTTAGTGTATATTTGTATGATTTTTAGAGCTTTACGTGCTCAAGTTTAATTATAACTGTATACAATTTCTTTCAAACCAAATTATAATAAAATAGTCTATTGACAAGACATTGTACAGCAACAACACAATCTTATTTTTTCTTTTTATTATCTATTATTACAATGAAATATGAACTTAAGAGTAGAAATAGGACAATGTTTAAAGGAATATACTCAAAAAATATTATTAAAAACCGAAAATAATAACAATGACAATACAGCAACTAGGAATAAATTTTCTTTGTATAACCTTAAGGTGAAAATTGATTTGCATCCTCATTTTCTTGATATAGTTTGTTGTGGCATCTTATGTTCTGCGGTTTTCCTGAATTTTTACTTTTTTCTTTCTATACATTAACTTAATTCCTAATATTATATATATATATATATTTATATATATATTAATTATAATATTGCATAATATTACCAAGATCAATTTTTTGTATTTAAGTGTATTAAAGATATTTGTTATTGATTTAATACTTCAGGTCAAGGGAATTTTACTCCTTGTGTGCTGCAGTGTTATTACATCAATTTTCTTATCCAAACTATTGGTATTTCTATATTTCAACTACTACTATACGTAATATATAGTTATTGATTAGTTCGGTAAGTACTACAGAACACTAGGTAACCTCGGGAAACCGTGTATATACTTAAACACAAACAAATCGTCCAAAATATAATACAATACTTTATTTGAACTGGCTGGGCTCGTTCCTCGCCTTCCACCAGGAGAAGAGTGAGTTTCACAATATTTTAGTAATCTTTTAAAATAAACACATCAACTCGCGAAAGTAGCTTACAGAAATTTGTTGTTTATATCTATAATATTATATTTAAATTTAACATAATAATTATGCCGGCGATGGTGACGATTGTGTAAAACAATATTAGTATATATTAAAATATTTTAGTATTATTATTGGCGGCTGGATATACTACAATGTTTAAGTTCTATTAATATAATTTGAATAAATAAGAATTTCAAATATCAAGCAGTTATTTTTTGTTTGTTAAAAATAATTTAATTAAAAAAATATAAAACTATAATATTTAGTATAACAATTTATATAATCATTTTACCACTTATAAAAATAATAAAAAATTGAGAAATATAATAAAATCAATTTCAAAATAATTATATCAAAACTCCTAACAAAAAAAAATTTTCAAAAACCTTCAACAATTTTTTTACTCAATTTTTTTTTCCATTTCTTAGGTATAACTCTAATGGAAACATTTTTAAAACTTTTTGCCAATCTATTTGAAATGTTTTGACTTTCAGTCGAGATATTATGCTCTTCAATTTGTTCTTCACAAGAAATTACCACTGGATCTTTATGTTCAATGACGGTCACTGAAGAATTTTTGTTTGTTGATTTATCGATTTTTGATATTTGATTACTATAACAACAAATATTTAGCATAAACAATTTTTAGAAAAAAATTAAATATTTCACCTGTTGGTCAATTTATTTCTACTATTTGGTGAAACAGTTATCCTTAGTTTGTACCACGGATCACAGAATGGATTATATTTATTGAAATATAAGTTAACATAACATTTGAGTTCTTCAGGCAATATACAATTATTAAACACACATGGAATAATTTTAGGTAATCTTTGCTCTGCAATAAATAATAATATGAGTCTAAATGAAAATATGTCCATTATTTTCCATAAGATAAAACAATTGTTCTGCTAGTTCACTGTATTAAGGATAAATATAATATTAATTATAAAGAAAATATTGTTTACCGATGGCTAAAGACTGTGTATAGTTCATAATAAATCTATTCCATGGGCTATTTAAAAAATCATCTGTTAGAATGATAATCAACCAATTACAACGATCAGAAATTAACTTCATTATTGACATATATTCAAACATAATTCCCGGTCTTAAATCGCGTTCTTTTAGGCACAGCTAAAAATTAAAATAAGATTAATTCAGTAATGAAAATTAGATATCAAGATATTACTATTTTCTATAATGTATTTACATAAAAAGATCTGTCTTAGGATAATGGGGATGAGTGCAGCTATTGCTAAAGGTAATTTGATGTATATCTGTAAGCAACAATTAATCATTGCAAATTAAAAATGATTCTGAGCGGAGTTTGGTTAAAAGTGTTGATTTGTCAACAGTATATATGTCATATTATGGTAAACTAATTACATATTTTATTTTATTATTAATATTGTATCTATTTTGCTGTTTTTTCTATGTTTTGGTAAAATTACTAGGAAAATAAAAAAAATGACTTCCCCAGTCAGATTTTCTTTCAGAAACAGTGCTATAATTGTAAATTGTAGCAAGATTTCTGGTATAAAATTGTTAATAGATAGAATAAAGTAAACATCATTGTAAAAATAATATATTCCTCAATCCAATCAGAATATAAAATTGACAATATTACCTTGAGTGCGTATTCAGTTTCTAATTTGTCTACTACAGTTGCTGCTAACTGTATGTCTGCATCATCGTACAGTAAAAATGCATCATATCTTGGAAGAGGAAGACCGTTATTAAAAGCTAAATCGTCATCTATGAAATTATAAAAATATAATTATGCACCTAGTCTCATGTTGCAATATTAATTTTATATTCTGAATTAAACTCACCTAAAGTAATTATATTATTATCAAAATCATCATGGTGTATTACAGGTGTTGGAATTGCTATGGAATATTGTTTTTCTTTAAAAGAGACTATGTCACAACCTTGATACAATATTGAAAATTAATTTAAATAATAATATTAATGCCAAAATAATGCCAAAAATATTTATTATTCTTGTTTTTAAGTACTCACTAATTAAATCTATTGTATCGTCAATAACATCAAATCTGTCTATTCGTTCTAGACATAGCAAAAAATCTGCTATAGTAGTTTTAAATTCACAAAACTTGAATATTTTGTTTATCGGCTCGTTTGGATCACATCCAGATGGTATTGTATATTTCAAAAGAGTGCACAATCCTCTCCAATCTCTATGAATTATACAAAGCAATTTATTAAAACAAAATATGGATATACAGATATATTGCCAGATATACTGGTGTACATACAATGTTAATCTTAAAAATTGTTATTTGTGTTCTCGAGTTGACTTTAAATTTAATAAAATATTTGTTGTAACAGTTAATAATGATTTTCTAAATGTATAAGGAAAATTAATAATTGATACTTATGGTGTAGTTGTGATTAAAATTGTCTATATCTGAAGAGTAGTGTGTAGCTATTAAAATTATTTTATTTTTACATACCTAGGTAACTTTTCGGAGGAACACAAAACTTTTTTTGTATTCAACATGCACGATAACCGATCTCTAGTTGGTAACTGAAGCACAGATATTTTCAAATTTTTATAGTCCTCTTCCATAACATTTCCGCACATTATTGGATCCATTTGTAACAGTGACACTTTTTATGATGAAAAATTCATCAACCAAAAATTCAAAATTCAATCCTCAAGGATTAATACATATTTACAAAATGAAATGTAGCCTACAGGAGATATCTATTCATATCACAGATTGACTTTTTAACATAAGGTACCTAAATACTTTAACAAGCAAGTTTACTGTTTTTTCTGAGTTAAAAACTAGAATTAAGAATTTTTTAGCGATTAAAAAAATTGTTAAGAAACTATTAAGTAACACCACAGACCGCAGTCCACTGGAATAGAATAATATGTACCTTCCGTTAGTAATATTTGATAAGAAAGCTCAGTTGTTCCCAAATTTGTAGACAATGTTTCTTATACAACTCTTGATTTGTACTTCTAATTGTATAATAAGTTGTCGATCCAACACCTAAAATTCATTTTTTAATCTATTCTCTATTTTTGTTAACGTTTAACTTTGTACACATGTTGCCTATCCAGATCCTGAAATTGTTCAACGTGTCTGTTTATTGCTTATCTTACATTACAAATTCTATTGCTGTTTCCGAATTAACAATTCACCATCAGGTATATCATATTCAAAATGTAAAATGCGAGTCGCGTGAACGCGGAATTGTTTTTTAAAGATATCTTTGTAAACAAGTCTTACTAAATAAAATCAATAAACTTCTCTCTCTATACCATCTATAATATAAATATTTAAGGCTTTTAGTTTTTATGTAAGGTAACTGTTACTTAGAAATTGAATAACATTAATATTAATTTTAGACAAATAGGTAACTATTTGTATAATTGTATTGGCCAAATATACATCATGATTATATCATATCTCCAAAAACTTATTATAAATCTATCAATATTTTGTATACCTACTCACATATTATTTGTTTTTTTTTAATTAAATTTGTCAAAACTGACTTGTAGGCAAGGTATTGTAGTTATGGTAGGCCATAAAACAATAACTGTTATTGAACTGTTTGATGATTAGGTGTTCTTCCCGGTTTTTCACATTTGCTGGGAAAACTCCTTGGAAAATCGAAACATTTACCTCTCTACAGTACCTTCCCAATCAGATTGTCATTCAGAAAAAGTACTAGTTGTGCAGTTTGATTTTTGATATTAATTTCTCAAAAAATTATAATATTACATTTTTTCAATAATTACTCTTTTATTAGTATGGTTTCTTTTTGAATTTAAGGAGATAAATTTTAAAAGTGGGAAAGCTGATCTCAAATAGACTTCACGAAAAATTCAAATCTGTTTCCAAAATTCTTATTGTTACACCAGATCAATTGACACGTTGGAATTAAAACACGTTGAAATCTCTAAATCTCACGTGTGTAAGACGAAGACAGAAACTCGTAATTTCTAATTCCTTTAAAGATGTTTTAATGTATCAAATATGCGATATAAATGTATACAATTTATATGTTTATATATTTATTTATAATTAAAATCATATTTGACAAGAGTCAGTATTACAACAATTTAATAAATATCACGTTTTACGTCCGAATACCTAGTACCTGTTTACGTTTACCCTAACCCCCTGCCATTTTCGCGAGCCATCAACCGCAATTTGATTCCAGATTCTGAATCTGCGTTTCTTCACCGACATTTTGTTCCATGTTAGAACTTGGCAAAATTAATCTTAGTGTTTTTAAAATAACTTCCTAAGTAGGACCTTAAGCTCTTCCCGTCTTTCAGCCGGCTTTTTATCGTACATTTATGAGTATTTAATGCCTATCTAACGCCTTTATAATAATTTTTATTTTTGGGAACCACTGGGCCCTGTTATCATTTATCGCTAGCAGAAGATACGTACCTAAAAGTGAAATTTTTAATATTTTAAAAACTAAAAAATAACTGAAAAATTCAAAGTATCTACTATATTCAATTGTAAAATTACTTCGTCTGGGGAAAGGGTATCTAATGAACAGCTGAAATGATTTTATGGAAAAGGAGGTAGGTATAGTTCAATTTAACAAAGGTGCAAAGCAGGAGTAGACATGTCAAGTCTGGAGAACCTAGTACCTGCAATAGAATAATTAAAGACAGAAGGTACGCTTGAACACCCAAATAGGAAAAGACAGCGAATTAGACGGAAACAATGTTTAGATGTAGTCATGGATTCAGATTACGTTTAATCTTAATTCTTGGATGCGGTTAACAGAGATTAGAGAATAGAAACACAGTGAATTGAAACCTAACATTTCGGTCTACGGCGGAGAGCACACCCAAGGTAACCCAGAAATCAACGAAAAATAAAATACTAATTTTCAGTTTTTTTACTTTTCTTTTTCACTTTCAGAAAAGATTCTATATCACACAATCTTTTCCTGTTTATGATAAGAATAATATAATTACCTGCTTTAAGTGAGTTTAATTCAAAATATAAAATTTATATTTGCGACGTTTATTGCAACGTGAGACTAAGTGCATAATTATATTTTCATAATTTTGTAGATGACTATTTAGCATTCAATAATGGCCTTCCTCTTTCAAGATATGATGCATTTTTACTATACGGTGATGCAGATATATTTACAACTAGTAACAACTGTAGTAGACAAATTAGAAACTGAATATACACTCAAGGTAATATCAATATTTTTTTTATACTAATACTTGATAATAAATTATAGAAAATATTAATAATATCTTGGTATCATATTTTAATTTTTAGCCTGGTCTAATAAAAGAATGTGATCTAAAACCAGATATTTTGAATATATATATATAAACAGATGTTTGAATATATGTCAATAATGAAGTTAATTTCTGATCGTTGTAATTGGTTGATTATCATTCTAACAGATGATTTTTTAAATAGCCCATGGAATAGATTTATTATGAACTATACACAGTCTTTAGCCATCGGTAAACAATATTTTCTTTATAATTAATATTATATTTATCCTTAATACAGTGAACTAGCAGAACAATTGTTTTATCTTATGGAAAATAATGGACATATTTTCATTTAGNGTGGTACAAACTAAGGATAACTGTTTCACCAAATAGTAGAAATAAATTGACCAACAGGTGAAATATTTAATTTTTTTCTAAAAATTGTTTATGCTTAATATTTGTTGTTATAGTAATCAAATATCAAAAATCGATAAATCAACAAACAAAAATTCTTCAGTGACCGTCATTGAACATAAAGATCCAGTGGTAATTTCTTGTGAAGAACAAATTGAAGAGCATAATATCTCGACTGAAAGTCAAAACATTTCAAATAGATTGGCAAAAAGTTTTAAAAATGTTTCCATTAGAGTTAACAGGTGAAATATTAAATAATTTTTAAATTTGTTATGTCTAATATTTGTTTATAATGTAATTGGAAATTATAGTAATCAAATATTAAAAATCAATAAACCAACAAAAAAAATTCTTCTGTGATGGTCAATGATCCAGAGGTTATTTTTATTGAAGAACATTATGTCCTAACTGGAAGTAATTTAAATTTTAAATTAACTTTAGATCACAAATAATAATTTAAAAAATATTTATTACATGTTCAGTTGTATATTTTCTTTTGATAATTAACTTTTTATAGCTTATAGAGATTGGATTAGAGATTATTTTGAGGAATGAAATGTGATCTTCTTTCAAGATGTGATGCAACAAACATAATACTCAACATTTTCAAGTTTTATAACTGAAAACTACCGTAGTAGATTTTTCAAACTGTCTAAAATTAATAAATAAAAATGATGTTATTGACTATGAAAACAATTTAATTAGTGAGTATTTATAAAGGAATGTAAGATATTTGTTAATTAAATTAATAATATTATTTAAATTAATTTTTAATATTGTATCAAGGTCGCTGCAGTTTCTTTTAAAGAAAACCAATATTCCATAGTATTTCCAACACCATTAATACACCGTGATGATTTTGATAATAATATAATCACTGATGATTTTGATAGTCATGTTATTACTTTTGATAAGTTTAATTCAGAACATAATTTGTTTATTGTAATGTGAGACTAGGGGTTAATATTTTCATCATTGTGTACATGGCAAGTTTTTTAGAAATTCAGTGTGCTGCTTGTTCCACTGTATTGGTACCTGTTATAGATGGTCCAGAGCCTTTTTGAGTATGTATATCTTTCCTGGAATCTTATCCTTCTGGCATGTTCATGAAGATATTTTTTTATTAGTTTTCATCTAGGCAGTCTTCATATTAAAAATCATGATCTTCATTTTTCTTTGAGCAGTCAAAAATTTCAGAATTTCGCTGACAGTCCCTAGTCCTACCACCAATCTTGTTTTATGTTTTCATCGTCATTTATCTTAATAATTCATCCACCTGTAACAATTTCTTTTCCACTTGCATAATTTTCATCCACTATTTATTATTTTTTTCAAAAACTGCTTTTAGCCTTGATTTTTGCCATTCTTGTTTTTCAGGAATTTTCTTGCATTCTGTGTAACACGAGAGCTTTATTATCATTATAGATTACATAATTTTTGAGTTTTAGTGGCAGCTTTCTTTGTTTTTTTGGTTGTTACATGACATGTTCTTGATGTTCTCTATCTTGTTCTTGATTTTTAGTTCCTGATTCTCCATCAATTTCACTTTCAGTGTCTCCTGTGTCTACAGTGTGTAATCGTTCGTTGGAAATATCCTATAACTGCACATATTAAATATATTTGAATTCTATTTATTGGGTACCTAACAAACTTTGTCACACACATATTAACTAATTAAACTATTTTTATGCTATTTAATTTCACGCATGCATACAGCAAATTTTTGTATATGGAAATCTTTTTTTTTGGGTAATTATTTTCAGTCTTATTTTTTTATGAATTTAAATGGTCAAACCAACTTTCTATGTTAAAAAATAACCGAGTTATGAATATTTAAATGTTTGGTATTATTTGTTGATATTTTTGAATTATTCACCAATTTGATTTTTTTACACCTCATATCTTCTAGGGCTATTTTTAGTACCTACTATGGGGGAGGGATAATCCTCTTTCTCTACTGAAACTTACTTTTTTTTTGTAATTTGTCTCTTAAAATTACAATTATAATTACAACTTATATCAAACGTGTATATAGCCATAACTTCGCTATTTTTTAATATAGGAAGTTTTTTGTCCATTAAAATTCATAAAAAAATAATCGGTCAAAAAAAGGAGTGGGTTGTTGCCATTTAATAAAGGTTGTTATGCACTTAAGCAAAATTAAATATCATCAAAATAGGTTAATTAGTTTCAATTAGTTAGTTTAATAAATGTGTTGCAGTGTACAAACTTTACTCCACGTGCAATTTTCTAGGTAGGAGTCAAACAGTCTTGTTAATAAGAATGCTGTTTATTCTTTCTGATGTGCAACTGTGTTGAAGAGTGTATGCTAAAGTGTAGTTTAAAACAATTTCTTTATTCTTGCACCATGTTTTAAAACAGTTGCTGCTGTACTCACCTATATTATCACAACTTATTTTGGATGTCTTTAAATTGAAATGGGTTTCAGATTCATTTATGAACTCTTTCAAACATTTTTGAACTTCATTCTTTTATTTCAGCTGATACACTTTCAAAAAATGAGAATTCAAAATTGCCATTTATGTTGTAGCTGATATGTCCAAGCTTCTTGTGCCAATTCTCTATGATTCTTGAAGTAGCAAGAGCTTTTTAGTGTTTCTTGAGTTTTCTGTATTCACTAAATAGAGACTATTGTTAGTATTGTATCCTTGTAACAACACTCCATTATTATTGAAAATATAAACTTAATATTTGTGAACAAGATTTCTCCATCATGCTCAATGATTGCATTTACTGACACAGATTTCTGCTCAGTTCTGATACATATTATGTAACATTATTGTAAATAACATCATTTATTTAAATAAGTAATAAGTTCATCTATTATATCATGTTTTGTCACATTTATTATCACTGGTTCTTGTATTTTTGCATTCAGGAGAATGATTTCTTGATTTGCTAAATAAGCATTGCATGCATTATCAACAACAAATTCACCTTTATTGAAATCAATTAATTATTTTCACTTATATGCGTTTCAGTAAGAAAACTGACTTTCTTTTTTGATGTCTTTATTTTTGAAGTTGGAGAAGTAGTTTTCCTTTGTGAAATTTGTTTTCTTGCAAATGGTACAAAGTGAAAACAGTTTGTTTTTCTCGTCTTTCTCCTTGAAAAAACAGTTCTCTTATGGGTGATTTCTTTCCTTACAGATTCGGCATGGAAGATTCTGATAAAATAATTGTGATTTTTTTTGTCATGATTATTCTTTATTATTTTTCTTAGATTTTTGAAAATTCTTTTTGAAAACCTTTTAGAAGATCTACTTTCTTTGATAATATAGACTTTAAAATATCAAGGTTTTTGTTCCTACCTGTAGTAGAATCCCAGGCACTTATAAAATATTTATACTTATCTGAAAGAATAGTTATGATTAAGGCTCAGAACTTAATGCACTTAAAATCCACAAATAAGGGCTTCAAGCCATTAAAAAAAAAACCCAAAAACCTTTGAAACAAAGCACTTTTAGCATAACAAACATTATTAGACCATATTGTAGAAGGTTTTAAATATTCCCTGTCTAACGATTCTAAATTATTAAATATAATTTTCTAACACTACAAAAATTATTAACAAAAAATTATTTTGTTTGAATAAAATTGTATGTATTTGAAAAAAAAAATAACGTTGGGTAAACTTTAATTTTGTAGTGTTAGAAAATTGTATTAGATAAGTTAAAGCCGTTAGAAGAGGAACATTTAAATCTTTCTATCGTTTTTCAAATATTCATCAAGTGCTTTTTTGACGTTTTTAAGTGGTTTTTTATGGATTTTAAGTTCCGAGCACTAGTCATGATTTCTGTTATCATCGCTAATATTTTTTCTTGTAGTTTTCAGCCTGAAGACAAATATTTTGAACGAACCTTACGTTAGTCATAACATCACGTAACGTCCAAAAACGACCATTTCCCGTTATCAAAGGACAAGCATACCTACCATCGATATGGTCGACCGATTAATAGATTACGCCCGCGTCGACGGAAATGTTATGTCATCATGAACAATAATAACCTCCCGCGCAAAGGTTTATGCGATCGCAATCTGTTGCAATTCGCAATAATATTATATTTCTGACTACGGGTTAGCGGCCAATCATATCACGGTTCCCCTTATCGCCAAAAACGTCGGCCCTCGGCGACGTGCTACGAACGTTTCCGCGCTCCGCTACTCAGTTTTTCTTTTTTGGTTCGTTCTTTTCCTTCGTGTCTAGACTTCGTCTCGAGATTTCTGTCACCAGACGGTCTTTAGATACAGTTATAAAATACACTCAATAAACTACTCCCGTGTATTACCAATTTTTGCCGCCAAAAAAAGGTCGTGTACCTTGGCACGATTTTTGATGGTGCCTCGAACGAATCAATGAAGTGAGTTCCGATCTGGTCCGCTGGGCGTACATCTTCGGGAGAACGATGGTAATATGTATAATTTAGTATATTTAATATGTATAATTATGTAATAATTTAGTAAATGGCCGATACCCTGTTAGTTAGTTAATTAGTTTTTAAGGTAATTTAATTAAGGTTTCTCCGTATGAATATATATATTTTTTTCTTTCCCTCCTCATAAAATCCTAGGACTCCGATCTTTGGACCTCGGCCCTAGGTTGGCGACCTTCCCACTTGGCGGGTATTCAGCTGGGCGCTCGGGTCGGTCCCCAAACAAGGCCGACCTAACCGGGACATCTCAATCTTTTGTTTTGGAACCGGTGTAGTTAAAGAAATCCATTAGTAGCTGTTGTATGATGTGTGTTGCCCAGATGGTTTATCATAGATTTTTTCAAGATATCATACATGTATTTTAAAGTTTAACATGTTAAAATATGTGCCTAAACATAATCAATTGTTCTTATTATTTAAAACTGTGCTTTGGTATCCTTGTTTTTCCACTTTTCTTTGGTTTCCTCGTTATCATCTGTGGATAGTATTTCTTTACCATTCTATTTCTACTATTCCTATTCTCATTTCAAAATTCCAAAGTGGGTTCTTGAGTTTTGAAATGCTGGACAGTTCATAATCTGTAGTCACCATGCTTTAAATGTATGTTTTCTTAACCTCTCTGATTTTTCGTGTGCAGTCATTTCATTGTTCGCTTTTCTTTAGCTATGCACACTCTTGAGTCATGTTTGGACTCATACCCTTTTATGATTTAATATTGATTAGTGTGCATTTAACTTACTGTAACATTAAGATGTGTTGTATTTGAGTATTTACAAAAAAAAAATGTCTGTGTTATTCTCATCTGAAGTAAGTTAAATGCACATGAATTAATAATAAATCATAAAAGATTTTTTGTTGTTATATTATTATTGATGATTTTAGAATATAGAGTGTGTAAACACTAATTGAAAACAATCAATATCTTTGCACAATGCCTCACAATTTGAAATTTTTGATTAATTGTACAGTTTATTGTTATTGTAGCAATACAAATTTTTACAAACTTATAATTTGTTTTCAAAAAAATTAATACAATTAACTTTCTTATCAATTTTATTACAGAAGAATATAATGAAAAATTATATTATCTATGCACCAATCAATACTAATAATTACAACTAATATGAGTTTATACATGTTATCAGTTAATTGTATAAAATTGAAAAATATACAAATTTTTTCAATATTTATACTCTGTTTTCTCCATTCAAGTTTGTAATAACAGCAATAATAATAATATGATTTTCCTGTGTTAAATAATTGTATTAATTATTTAAATACCAGTTATATTATACCAGTTAATTTCATAAATAGAATGTAAAACATTAGATATTATAAAAAATATTATATTATATTTTTTTATTTTAATTTATTTTAATTTACACCATGTTCATGTTTCAGTATATTTTTAATTATTAAAGTTAATTTATTATACAAAAATCAGTTAATTGTATATAGATACAAAAATTGTAATTCTAATGAATATATCCTTTTATTTAATAAAATACCCTTACTAATTACTTACAAGTAGTATTGCATTTAAGTATCATTTTACTGGTGACGACCCTTTACGAAAGTGGTATTATACTTTGTTTAATATAATTCTTATAGGTAATCAAATAAAAGCTAATAAATATAAATCCTATATAATTAATATATGTAATAATAAAGTTAATTTAAAAAAAATGTTCTTATAATAGGTACTTGTTGCAGAAGTAGTACCTAACAATATTATTAACAGGAATATAAATAAAAGTTTTCTAAACAACTATCAGTTACCCTTAGTTAACTAATAATGGATATTAAATTACGATTCTGAGTTCAGTTAGTTGATAGTAATGTTTTGTCAACAATATATAGTATAGTCATTTTATAGTAAAATAATTAAATAAGCTTTATATTTTTTCTTTAATAATATTTGTTTAATGTTATATCGATTTCCCCAGTTTTCCTATGTTTTTCCCATGTTTTCAAAATTGATGAGAAAACTTGAAAAAATCGAAAAAATGACCTCTCTAAACTACCTCTCTATGCCGATTTTTTTTAGAAAAGGTGCTACACGTAGAAACCGAGTAAGTCTTCTAGTAGAAAAGTTGCGCACAGATAAAAAAAATAATTAACATCTTTGTAAAGCTATAAGCTTCTTCGCTTCACTTAGAATCTAAAATTACAGTTTCGAGAAATAAAACCACGTATAAAGAGTCTGATAATGTTTTTACCTTTAATAGTTTGACAATAATAGTGTAAATTCGTTTTAATATTGAAACTAAAAGCATATTATACAATTGTCTTGCGTTTGTAAAACGGGAACAGCACGTGCGGGTATTAAATATTATTTATAATTAGGGATGAGAAGTTAAAAGAGGTAAAATTGGAGAAAAATGCATGCAAATATGCAAAAATAAAAAAAAAAATTGGATCTAATTTTGATAGTCTCGAAGAAAAAAATAATCGCGATATACTCAGATACGATAATCCATTGTTATAATAACAGAAAACCAAATACGATAAAGTTCACCTATCACCCATGATCTTGATAAGTATTATGTATTATTATATTATATTATATTTCTATTTAAGTATTATTCGATAATAAACAAATAACACGTATTTAACAATAATAAAGTTATACGTTTTACATTTTAGGTTTGAACGCTATAAATATAATTTGACCAAAAAAATAAAAAAAACTCAATTGGTTGTAGATCAAAGATTTATCTCGCCTAGCTATAAACAGAAGACAGACAAAAATATGCAATTCCTATAATTTATCATCCCTATTTATAATAAATACGTTGTTCGGAAATTTCGCCGAGGAAAGGGAACGCGTTACAATACAAATCAGTCGGTGGAGACATTTTACTGAAAACAAGTATATATCCAATAAGTTTAAATTGGATGGGCTCATCCACTTGGCTGCTTGCGGTCATTGGCAGGTCCTGAGTAATGGGTTCACCACCAATAGGTTACGGTAGATTTTGCGATGATCTCTCTTGCTTCTCACCGAATCCGTAAACCGGCACTCCTGGAGCGTACCCTGAAAAAAAAAGTCTGGGTATACTGATAAATATTGGGCTACAAGCTTTTTGAAATAAATAAATTGAACACAAATATTTACCTCCCCCCCCATTGGCCGATTGGCTTCCTAGGTTGCAGTCTATTCAACCTATTGGTTAATCATGGACCCATGGTTATACGGTGTGTAAAAAGAATAAAACAAAGAATAATCATTAACCAATTGTAAACGGTTCGGGTTCGGATTCGAAAACAAAATAATATAATATAACAACGATTTCCACACCAGTTTCTTTTTTTTTTTTTTCGTTTCACAGTGATTCATCTTACTGTCCCGTCGGTTTGCAACCCTATCCCCGCAAACTTACAGGTATCAAATAATATTATGCGGCCGTAATGTAACAATATAATAGGCAGGTATATTTTTTATTATTTTTTTTTTTTTACTATTTCGGATCGTATTTCTTCGGGTTTCGTCCATTTTCCCGTATAGTGTGATATTATAAATTTACGAGTTGTGACTTTGCGATGACCATAGGTATTATAATATACAATACGGTCGACCACCGGGGCGAAAATATTTTTTTACGAATCGATCGTTGCGCGTTTTTATATACCTAACACAGCGTATACCCATCATATACCCGTCGCTTACCGAATAAAATAAATAATACATAATTGGTATACGGGCGTGTATAGGTATATACCCATATACCTATACTTAATGCTGTATATTATGGGTGTAGTATTATACCATACCGGGTCGGGGTATAGGTAATAACCTCCGTGCATCACGTGTGTGCCGTTAAAATAACGAACGGGAATTCGCGTTTTAAAATCCAGCGTGTGGATAGGTAAAATACAATAATATTGCGTAATAGGTGTTTGCATTTTGCAGTATAGTATTAAAAAAAATACCGGAAGTTTTTTTTTTTTTCTATAATCCTATCCGACACTGTAAATATTATACTACCAGCTATATATATATATACACACACGAGTACACATGCAAATACTGTGTAAATTCTGCGTATACAATCGCCTGGACCGGATTAGGAGTTTATCGCGGGCCTGCGGATAGTCCAAACGGCCCTCGCACTATTTATTATATTATACAAACGACTCGGTTTCACTTTCGAAATGCATTCCGAGATAATGAGTTGGTCGCCCTGTTTAGGGCCGTAAATCGCCGTACGAAAAACTCGGATAGGTAGGTATACAAGTTGCTCCAGTTTTGGAGGACATTATAATTCGTGAAATAACGAGAGACTCCCGTCAAGTCAATTCTGAAAATACTCGAATTAAAACACCAAAACTCGTGACTAGATTAAAATTAGGCCGATTTCGTTTTGAATACATTTTCGTATAATAATTATATACTTGTCTACGATTCGGCCACAAGAATATAGTATAATGTCCGTATTGGGAATGTTTTTTT